CACTGGGTGGTGGAGGCTATCGTGTTATGTTACAATAATGCGAATATATAGCCCTCAATAGGACTAAGAGCACACTCTACTAGAGGTATGGCTACATCCTGGGCTCTGTTTAGAGGCATTTCTATTCAAGAAATTTGCACGACAGCCAGCTGGTCTTCTCTGCACACAATTGCCCGTTTCTATTGACTGGATGTGACAGAACCCTCTCTGGATCACTCAGTCCTGGGAGTGAGTAGTCAGGTTGTATAATGCAGTTTTATTAAGGGGCGAATTCCTCATATTATTCTGTTTTCACCTCCGTCGAGTGCTATGATTCAGATAATAACCCACTCATTCTTTAGTCTGCTTCGTTAGCATATCGGCAATACGGGCGTTGTCTATATCCCATAGTGAGATACCGAACGAATGTTAGAAAGAGAACGTCAGGTTACTGCCGTAACCCCGGTTCTCTGATAACATAAAGTGAGGTATCTCACAAACGTTGGCCTCCTTGCCTGTCCTGCACGGAGAAGAGATATGCGGAGAATGACAAAACGGCAGGTAGCTGCGGTTTATATACAGGGAGGCGGGACTCCCTGATCGCTGCAGCGATTGGTCTGCCATAGTTGGCAGACATGGTGTTATTGGGAGGCGGGTGGGCTTGAGAACGGCGCGGCCAGTGATTTCGACGAAGGAGTGTCCGGCGGGCTTGCGGCAACCACATGTGACGACTCCGGGCTGGACTCCGCTTCGTCCATGGTGTCTACTAGAGGTATGGCTACATCCTGGGCTCTGTTTAGAGGCATTTCTATTCAAGAAATTTGCGCGGCAGCCAGCTGGTCTTCTCCGCACACATTTGCTCGTTTCTATTGACTGGATGTGACAGAACCCTCTCTGGATCACTCAGTCCTGGGAGTGAGTAGTCAGGTTGTATAATGCAGTTTTATTAAGGGGCGAATTCCTCATATTATTCTGTTTTCACCTCCGTCGAGTGCTATGATTCAGATAATAACCCACTCATTCTTTAGTCTGCTTCGTTAGCATATCGGCAATACGGGCGTTGTCTATATCCCATAGTGAGATACCGAACGAATGTTAGAAAGAGAACGTCAGGTTACTGACGTAACCCCGGTTCTCTGATAACATAAAGTGAGGTATCTCACAAACGTTGGCCTCCTTGCCTGTCCTGCACGGAGAAGAGATATGCGGAGAATGACAAAACGGCAGGTAGCTGCGGTTTATATACAGGGAGGCGGGACTCCCTGATCGCTGCAGCGATTGGTCTGCCATGGTTGGCAGATGTGGTGTTATTGGTGCTTCTGCAATCGGTCACTCCTGAGGCGTTCCCATAGTGAGATACCTCACTTCATGTTATCAAAGAAACCGGGGTTACGTCAGTAACCTAACGTTACAACTCTGAGTGAGAACCACTTCAGATACTCTGCGCGTGCGGCAGGGAACTGAACGAATCATTCAAACTGATTCGTGAACCAATTGACCGTTCGCAAAGAGCTTGATTGACAGGCGATCTGACCAATCAGAATGCGGATATTATGTGCCGCCGCTGCTATCCGCCATCTTGCGCCTTCTTTTTTGCAACGGTCAGTAAACAAATACATGTAACATAATAAGGCTCGGCCAGTTCACAAGGCAAAAGAAAAAACACCAGTTATGAAAGTTTATGAACATCAGTGCAGCGGTCACATAAATTCTGCAGAGTTTTTGAATGGTTGTATACGACAAGACGATAATTCTTCCATCGTGCAAATTATGGTAATTTTCGTCAGTTAAGGCTCGTTAGCATTCGGCCTGCTTTAAATCAGACACAGAGATGCAGTTTACTTAAGATCACATTTATTTGAATTATTTAATTATATAGTTTATTTGAATTAGAGAGAGAGAGAGAGAGAGAGTGTTGTCGTGTGCACTAATGTGTGTGCGTTGCGTCTATGAAAGCAGCATAGCCTACTGCATATAGTTTTAGTTTAGCTATAAACTCGAGACCGACCCGAACCCGAAGCTATTCATTAAACATTAACCCTAACCCAACCTGAACCCGACCCGAAACCCGAAAGTATTTCGGGACCCGTTGGGCTCGGGTCGGGTAGGAGACCTCTACTTGCAGCGCCTAAGTTAAAATACTGAGTGTGAAATAATAAAATGATATGTTAAAGGGGTCCTATTATGCTCCTTTACAAAGTCTTGATTTTATTTTGGGGGTGTACTAGAACAGGCTCTCATACTAGGTTGTTCGAAAAACACATTATT